GAAGGATTGATAATGAAGCTCAAGCTCAGATACTTTGGCCACCTAATGCAAAGAGAGGACTCTTTGCAAAAGACCCTGATGCTGGGGAGGATGGAAAGCAAAAGGAGAAGGGGATGGCAGAGGATGAGATGGTTAGATGGCATCACCGAAGCACTGAACATGAAACTGAGCAAACTCTGGGAAGCACTGAAGGACAGGAAGGCCTGGAGTGATATGGTTCATGAGGTCACGAAGAGTCGGAGATGACTTAATGACTGAACAACAACAACAAAGCTTGTGGCTAGGAAAAAGTGGCAGATTTCATATGTTTGAACCCAACATAACTTAAGCAATTACACTGCAACTGTGTGCCGCTATATATTTTTATACAGTATATTTGTGTGTGTGTGTGTGTGTGTGAGAGAGAGAGAGAGAGAGATCTCCTATATTTTCTTCAGAAGCTCAAGGTGGCATACATGTGCTTCCTCTTCCAATTTTATCCCCACAATAACTGTGAGACAGACTGGATAGATAGAGAGCAAATAACTCCAAACCATCCTATGAACTTCCATTATGAGAATGGACCTGAACCTGAGCTACTGAATTGTAATCCAATACCCAAATCATTATCTAAATAGGGGTAGGAGATAAAACTCAACCTCCTGGGCTTCTGAAAGGCTGGAACCAAAGGCGCTGTGGTGTCCTATTTTATATCCAGAACAACTTTAAATTCCTGGGCAGCAACCAACAGCAAAGACTATACAAGGCAGTGATTGAGACAGGCAAGACACAGTAGTCATTAGATGTTTCAAGGTTAAGATACACAGTTCACAAAGCACAAGGAGAAGAGAGCAGTTGCAAGAGGCAACATTGGCAGGAATAACTGGTTTTTGCCAGGCTAGATATCTACCCAGGTGCTGCTTGACTAAATGGTGTTAGTCTTCCTTCTAACTGTTCCTCAACAGTTCTTCTCCAGCTACATTTTTAGTCTCTTCAGGTGAGTGAAGAATGGGAATGGAAGCAGGAATATTCTCAAGAGAATTTGAAAAATAGACTGCAGCACCTGTGAGATTGTTGCTGGCAAATTGCATGTAAAATAAATGGGGAAAACAACTATTTGGACTATAATGATCAGTGGGCATCTGGCTTAATAAAAAAAGGAAACCAGATTTGCTGGTGTGGAATTCACTTGTTTGAATCTCTTTTGCCTAAATAGCTTTTCCCAACTTGGGTGCCATCCAGATACACAGGCTTTTGATTTTTATTTTTTGCTTGCAGAATTTTTCAACCATGGCCATGCAGGCTGAAGAATTCTGGGAATTGAAATCCATACATACAGAGGGTGCCAAATTGGGATGGCCACCTAAAATCAGAATCTCATTTTTTGTAGCACAGATCAGAAATATAAAAGCCTCCTTGTTGTCCACAGATGATTGATTACTCACATTGATGGTATGTCCCTCTGGTGCTATCAAGAGCCAGGAACAATGACTAGAACTATTGTAAGGGTGTGGGTAGTTTGGACTTGAAATAATTCCTCTTTCAGCTTCTTTCACACCACCACAGGCTAAAATGAAATGTAAGATATTTGAAGAAACTTTGGTGCATGGCCAAGAGACATGTAGACATACCAATGTCATATTGCATATAACTTTCTAGGTGATTTCACAAGAAAAAAAATCATCTATATTAAAACATTAGTAGGTACCCTGTAATGGTATGTAGGAATGGCCTTGGGAGATGGGTAGAAGAGCCGCAGACTAGACAACAGTCAGACAAGTGGCAGCTGAATCCGCAGAAGGAATGTGAGCATGGCAAACATCTCAGAAGGGATCCTCCCTAGTTTCTTGGGTTGTAAAGGCAAGGGGGAGAGATGTACCTTCAGACTTGCAGGATTTTGTTAATGTAACCTTACAATAAAGTTAGAGCTAGTACTCCTGGGTGTGCTTCTTGTCTGGACTACCTTGCAAGGCTGACATATCCTGTATATTCTTAGGGGTACTAGATCTGATAGGAATGCTTTGGGTCCCATTAATTAAAGAGTGTCAACAAGCAAGGCCCAGAAGATGGGCTTTTCTGTCACAGTGCCAACTCTTTGGAACACTATATTCCTGAGAATGGATTGGCCCCAACCTTACCAGCTTTTCGTAAAATTTTAAAGACCTGTATGTGTTCCCAGGCATGGGGGTCAGCAATTTAGCAGGAGATGATGAGATCCTGTCATTTTATTGTTGACTGGGTTTCCCTCGGGTGCCATTATAAGCTTTTATTCTAACGTATTTTGAAGTTTATTTTTGTATCATGCTTTTAATCTGATGTTAGCCATCCAGAGTTGCTATTGTAAGATGGGCAGCCATATAAATTAAATAAATAAATAAATAAATAAATAAATAAATAAATAATATAAACAAATAGGGCTATTCATGCTTTGAAATGCTTAGAGAGAAGAGCTTCAGAATATGTGGCAGCATGAATGCATTTTCTGCATGAGCCTAAAAAAGGCATCATTATTCTAAGGAGGTGGGTCATTAAAGCAGCTGTGTCTTTGATGCAACTCTTTAAAGAAGCCATGCCTTATTTTCAGGCTTACATGGAAGCTTAAAAAAAGACATAGTTGCTTTATAGAGGTCTATATTTTGTGTCCCTGTCTGTTCCAGAGTACATTTCCTAATCATATTGAACACATACATAGGCGTCTTTATCTGCTCATAAAAATATAATAAATTAGTTCTTTGTCGTGCTCTCTGAGCATAATGTTCCACATACAGAACAGAGTATTATAGCAGAGAATTTCCTTTCCCATCTTACTTCAAATGGAAGAATATCTGAAAGAAGTTGCTGAAGACAGCCACAATGTATAGTCAAATTTACGAAGAAGCAGGTATTCATTTAGGCATCCAAGTCCTTAAAAATGTTATATATTTTCAACAAATTATTACAAAATTATATGCAGGGAATAAAGTTTCCATATTAGTTAATGATGGAATATTTATTTATTTATTTATTTATTCGGCTTGTATGCCGCCTATCTCCCCCACGGGTGACTCTGGGCGGCTCACAATAAAAAAGAAAAAATACAATTCTTTCCAAGATGGCTAAAAACTATAAATAATTAAAAAACATATTACAAATACCCTAAAAAAACCTCCTCTAATTTTGGCCCTATAAAAACCTGTAAGATGCTGGGGGGGGCAACCCACCATCCCACCAGCCATCTCCACAGGTGCAGGCCCCCCTCTGGCCCCCAGGCCTTC